ACATTTCTGTCCCCCTCACTTCTGAAATGATGGCTACGCCCCTGAAGTAGCCTATATAAAACTGCAAAATAAACATTCATCTATGGGTACTTTTTACTTAAGTACATAAAAAATCAAGTACTTTTGTACTTTCACTCGAGTAAAATTGAAAACTGAGTACTCTTACTTTTACTGGAGTAATATTTTATTATACGGATCTGTACTTTTACTCAAGTACTTGATTTGTGTACTTCGTCCACCACTGGGTGAGAGTCATACCAATGAAAATGTTGCTACTGTGACGACCCTAAAACAGACAACTAGTGAACTTAACAGGTAACAACAGGCCATTGATGAATTTCGGTGGCTGTGCACGAATGTGTGTTTGTGTTCGTGGGTGTCCACCTTCTCAGACAGGGCCTCCTCCAGCGTGGTGAGGGCCGTGTCCGTGTTTGAAGTGTCGGCCTGCAGGGATTTGACGCGCTCCTTCAGGCTGGTCATCTGCTTCTCCTTATCCTTCAGCTGCTCCTGCAGGTTCTCAATCTGCACCGAGAGGGAGAGACAGTTTTACGGCATCGAACTGATCCAGATGAAGACATATCTATTAAAGCACAATAAACAACATTTACTCACACTTAAGCTCAGAGTAGACTAAGTGAAGCCATTTTTCATTTTATTTTCAGCTTATCCATTTACAGCACTCCATATGGAACAACATTAGGAACGGGGGGGGGGGTTAAAAACAATCTATTTTTTTCACTGTTCTGCTGAAAATAAATAATGACCTCATTAGAAGCATATTCAGAACTAATTCTCTTCATAAACTTTCCTTATCTGCGTGCGCGGCTGGCGTGTGCGTGACGCCGGAGCTGATGAATGACATGGGAGAGATGGGCATTTCCACGTTTCGCTCCATTCATCATGTCCCGACAGCTCAATGAAAAGACTGACTATTCCTGTCCACCGTTTCACATTCAATTAAACGCTGACGGATTTGATAAATAGTTGCTTTTTTGTTTCTTTTAGCTGCTTTGAAACAACCTGCCGTTGATGGAGCCGCTCTCTGTGCAAACACATTTTATCAGCAGGCCTACCTCGACTGTTTAGAGAAAAAGTTCTTGGGCTGCACAAGATGAAGAGAAAATATAGGGTCTTTGATATGAATGTAATTGTTTTAAGACTAATTTTCTGAAATGTTGGCAGCAGAAGTTTTGTTGCTATAGCTAGAGCCTCACAGACAATGAGAATGAGATTTATGTCACAAAAATAACAAACATTATTATAAAAACATCAAATTGATGTACATTTAAATATTTTTTTAAAAGATAAAAATATACCATTCTACGTAGTTATATATATATATATAT